ATGGCTGCGGCGTGAAATCTCACTACAACGGCTTTTAATCGTTAAATCGATTCTCCGAAATTGAGGCTGTATTTATTACCGAGAAAGATTCTCTATCTCTGCGCGTTCCGTTATACAAAACAGAATGATTTATTGCACTTGTTTATTATACACACAGTGTTAAGAGAAACCTATAACCTTATATATTATCAACATGTCCTCGATTAATTTTATATTCTACTAAACATATAACATTAATATCACGTACAATATTTTTTAGAAGATCTACTAAAACAAATATTGTACTATTTTACATGAAATATCTTTTATTAAACTCGGAGCACTTGCTCAATCTATTGATTCATTAATTTACTTGATTTGAGCTTTGAAAATTCGCATAGCAATATAGCAAATCTTGAAATGTACGCCTCACAGTATATCGCGCTGTTGGCAAGTGGCAGCTTGCGAGCTTGCGAGCTCCCTTGGCGAGAAAGTTGCGCACAATTGGCTGATCATTAAATTGAGAACCAATATTGGCAAGGTTCTGCCGCGCAGCTGCCAGGAACATAAACATACGAGACTCGTATACCCCGTCCGGAGGACCCACCGATGTACATGCATACGCGCACACCGTATTGTACGTACACAGCGGGCGTACAGTGTAAGAGCGGGACGTGGCCGTGCGCGCGGTGCAAAGCACTAATTTGTAACCAAGTTGTCGCCCTGGTTTGACACTGCAGTAAATACGAGGGTGATAGCGTTGTATATCACTGGCCTACCACCACCACCACCACCGTCGGAACACCGCGCCGAATACTGCACGGTCGTAAGATCGTGGCGAATCAGGTTGGAATATCGCGCAGTACCTTCGTTGTTCATGTACGTTCTTTTTTCTTTTGAAGCGTATATCAGGTGACAACTAATTGTAAGCTAAGTGTTGTTTTCGCATTTAAATGCGAAATTGAAATCGAAAAAGTGAGTGTGAGAGTAGTAGTGAAAAAGTAAATATTTCCTTCCAATATCTTGTGATATTAAGTAAAGATAATAAATGGCACTCAGCGAATTGAAGATAAAAAAACGAATGTCCTACATTTAATCTATGACGTTTTCCTTCTATTTTTGAAGGAACATTTCTCGTATTCTCGCGTAATTAGTCCAATGATAATGTAAAAGAATTCCTGTGACGTAGCATATTTTCAGTAAAATTATATATCTTAAAATTTGATAAAAATTTGGACCGTGATGAATGCCAAAATTCCTCATTGACTCTATATTTCAGATCTCAATTAATAACAGAAACTATCGCACTTGTAGAATTCAATAAAACGAATTAAATCATGACAACAATTCTAAAGGAAAGATGGAGATTACCGTCTGCAATATTTTGATGTCAAAATTTGAAAAGTTTGCAAGAAATCTTATCTCAGATTTTCAGTTTGCCAATAAGATAATCATAAAAGTAAACACGGAAAATCAATCGCCACAAACCGTCTCAATCGCTTAATAGCCATGCGCGTCCATAATCTTGCGCTATAAAAGCAAACTCCGATAATACACTGGAAATAATGTTCGTTCGTCCTTTAACTTTAGTGCAACGTTTCCTTCGATCGAAGACTTTCGGAATGCCATAACTGACAACAGAACTCCCCGACAATTAACTATCCACGCCAGGCTCATGTATCACCGCGGACATAACAGAGATAGCGAGTCTCTTCGAAAGTCAGCGATTTAACGCCCGCGATCGTTAATCGTGCGAAGGAACGGCCGTCGGCGGGCATCAATTGCCTCGTATAAACATATTCAATCGGCGATTCGATCTCTTGTACACGGCTCGTAACATTGAATCGATCGGTTTAATGCACGGCGTCTCGTATCTGTTTTTCGTAGAGTTATCTCTTCATGGGCATAACATGACTTTATCATATAGAGGCTTCCAAAACGTTTTATTTCTTGTGTACAATATCGTATCTGCTTTTGAGGCAAAAGATGAGTATACGCGGACGTAAGTATTTGCTTAGATTAGCGTGTTATTGGTATCATAAATGTATGTTGCGCGTAATTACTTCTTCCAATAAAATATCATACAATATTTAATGTAAAAAAAAAAAATAAATAAAAGCTGCAAGCAGATGAACGAGAAATTTACATTAAATTAAATATCAATCTTCGAATTAAATATAAATTTTCGATGTGCGGCGCAGCACAATTGCTCGAGAGCGAGCAATAAAGGAAATTTCTCAAAGGCTACGCGTAACAAGAGGCATCGCGAAAGGCAGCATTACGTATCGCGCCGAGGAACTCTCCTTGAAGAGTCGCGTAATTGATTTCCGGGCTGGCTTAAGACGAGGGTTGGATATGTATCAGAAAAGCTGCGGGCGGATCGTGAGCCGTGCTCTCTCTCTCTCTCTCTTTCTTTCTCGTTGCCTCCCCTCGCCGATTAAAAATGTATCCGACAATAGAGGCTTTACGTCAAACGTCCGAGGCAGGAGTTTTCCTCATCCGCTTCCACGGTCGCGAGGAACGAGCGAGGCGAGCGGTTAGTAACCGAGTTCGACGAGGGGGTACGGAGCGCGGGGGCGTGGGCGGATAGAAATTCGTTATTAAAATTAATTATTCAGATCGGTAAAATGGCGATATAAGGCGCACCGATGGTGGCGGCCGTTTCGACGAAATGAATCGTAAATTGGACCTGGTGCAGATCCAACCCCCGTAAGCGCATCCCCCAACCCCCCCTCTACTAAATCCACCATCACCCGTGGAAGCCTAGCCCTAACCCTTTGCTTTTACTTATTAACCACCCTGATTTATACGCGATTGTGCGTGAGCGAACTTTTTTCATTTCGTCCTTCTCTGCTTGTTCTTTTCCTTCAAAGTGCTCGGGATCTTGCTTACTTGTTTTTTTAACGTTTGCCTCGCCGACTTATCGACAGACTCGCTTGGTGGTCCTGGTAGTAAGAAAATTCAAGATAAAATCGAATTATTTTCATTGTTTCGAAACTATATCATTAAGAAGTTTGCTGAAACACGCCTAAGCCTCAAATTCGGGATAAAAGCCGAAAGTCCTTTAACGAGTCCGCCGATCGAAAACCTCAGGGAATGTTTTGGATCTCTAATGCCGCCTTCCTTCCCTTATTTCGCAGCGGTTCTCAACCACGCTCCGGTAGCTTCCGCGTGAGCTGCTCCTGATTAACTCGTACAATCCCGCCTCTCTTCTCCGACTCCTGCGAATCTCTGATTTGCATGAGCAAGGAATTCCTTCGGTTTAAACCCCCGAAGCTTCCTCTGTCTACCTCTATCTGTCTTCCTCCGCTTCTCGTCCTCCGTACGCTCTCGCGTCCTCGTCGGATCCTCGCGGCCGCTCTTCACGATCCTCCTCCACGCTGCTGGGTACGAGCTCCGGCTCCGCTCGCTCAGCCACCGGCGATTCGGGCAAGCCCTATCGAGAGCGCATTTTAATGCGAGTCTAATTTTCGATTTAATTTCGGTAAAAATGATCCGGGCTCTTGGCCGATCCTGCGGCGGGAGGCGGCGGAGGAGACTGATTCGCCCCGCTTCAACCCCGCCGAGTATGCTCCCGCCGTTCCTCTTTACCTTCCTCGGCTGTTTTCTCTCTCTCTCTCTTCGTTGCCGACGAAAGTTCTCCCCGCAAAAACCCATTTGCATAACGTTTCCGTCGCCTTCCCGGGATGAAAACGAGCGGACGCCCTGCGGCTGTGTATGTACGTACATACCTGTATCTTTAGGTGTACGCAGGTAGCTATCAAGGTGTGTGGACACCCGCATGTAATAAATGGCACGACTGTTGCGCCGATGCAATCAAACACATAGTCAAGCTGAGGTGTATCATGGACAGTTCATGGACGTCTCATGGACTCTTAAATTTGGATTGCAGATTAACCACGTATAGTGTGTTGCTATATTAATTTTGAAAGGGGAATTCGCTTAGACAATTGTAATAATAAACAAGACGATACGTATATATGCACATATATCCCGCCGTTATATGTTAACGTTAAATCGCATTAAGTGTAATATGAGGATTATAAATTTTCTCATTTACGTGAAATAAATTAAAACAGCGTTAACGTGGGTGGCCCTCCAGCAATGAAAGTGCGTCTTAGTTAAGGCGGTTATTTCTAGATTAAGATTTGTTCTTAATGCAAATGAAGATATGGACGAGTAAATACCTTTTAAGTGAGAACCGCTGTCCGGATGAGGGAAGAAAGAACGGATTCTAAAGCACAGGGAAAGAAAGCGCGTAAAATTTTGTGTCTTATATAACAGGCGAAAGGGTTACGCGCTCAGAGCACGACGCAATTTGTAGCCAATATTATTTTATCGCGGTACATTTTTTAATTACTTCGCTCCGACGTCTTCAACCCTTTCTCACCCTCAACTCCGGTCGTCCGGTGTCTTATTAAACAATGGTGGATGGCGTCCGAATACCCTGGAGAATCGTATTTTACACTTGCCACACAGTCATGCCTTACTTTTCGCACTTTATACGACAACTTCGTTTCATCACGAATAAATCTTTGTATACTCAATTAACTTTTATTTAGTTTACTACAGAGCTGAGGTGAGAATCTCTGCAATTTAGAGCATATTTATATAAACTTTCTAAACTAGAATTGTGTGAACTTTTTCAAATGTAATTAATTTCAAAATTAGAAATAAAAAATACTTTGAAATACTGAAAAAAGGACTAAGTACAACAGTAATGATCGGAAATGTAATGATCTGCTTAATGAACTGATTAGGACTTTTAGTTCTGAACGCATGAAAGATAATATCACTATGTATCTGTGTATGTAAGGAAAAATAAGGAAAGAAGAGAAATTCAAGAATCACGTATCATATTTTGAGTTCGGAAAAAATCGACAGATATATTTCAAGTCAAGAAATATCCAAACTTTACATTTTTCTTCCATTTTTTTCTAGCTTAGCTACTGCTGTTAAATTTTTCAGCAGTTGATTTTTAAAACACTTAATCCAATGTTTTATTCTTTTACTTTTTGTAGCTCCTGGGAATTACCTTAGGCCGAAGGAATCAAGAAAGAGCGAAATAACGGCGAAACTCGTTGCCGGAGTGAGCGTCGAAGCGAACCGATGAAATTCAGACGAGGGATAATTTTTTAACGTTATTACCCTGCGAATCGGTTCGCCACCACCCTGTCGACGCCTTCGCCCTGCAAGCCGCCCACCCTTCGTTGATTGGCAATTTCGCGTCTTGAATTTTTATCCGGCTCAACGGCACGAAGGGAGTGGAGGAGAGGTACCGGTGCCGGCAACCCCTTCGTTTTTAAATTATCCGCGAGATTAATCAAGGCGTCATTTTTCACGTCCAATTTGCAATAGAAAAGGAGACGCAGCGGTGGGACGCGACGAGGGACGGCGCGAAAGAGTCACCACGCAGAAAAGCAAACCTTATTCTTAATTGATATATTCTGAATTAATTAATCCTTCCGCTGGGACGGTCCAGCGGCGACCAGAGAGTGCAACTGGGTAAAAGGGGGATGACTGGTTGGATCCCCTTTACTTAATTAGTGCCAGTCGTAAATTTCTTTCATTGGACACTTTTTTCTTCGATTATTAGCGCATACATCTTCCGGCAACCCCTTATTGGCTCGGCAACCTTTTTCATTGCGGATGGCCGACATCTGCAGACCGACTTCAAGGATATCGAGAACAGCCAAAGGCTGTACTGTACGAAAGAAACATCTGTATCACCGTGTTGTACGTTTCTTTTACCGAAAATATCATGTGAAAAATATCATTTAAGTTTTTACAAATATGCAGATGACTATTAAAGAAGATTAAAAATTAAATTTGAAACACAATTTAGTTAAATAAGAAAAATTAATTATCGTTAATGTAAAATAATTTTTATCTTAATATTATATCGAGTCAATTACTGCACAAGATAAAAGCGCGATTCTTGACCGTAAATATATCGCACGATCCTTAACGCGATTATGGGTATGTGATAAAAAGAATGACTCTCGTGCAGTCTCCCGTGGGAAACTGTGCCTTTCGCGGTGTTAGGGACAAAAGAGAACAAATGGATGTGAAAAAAGAAAACAGCCTCGCGGTGACGCCAAGAGAGAGGACAAAATCGAACGGGAGAGAGACGCGGCGATCGGCCGATGAGGAGGGAGCGGGAAGCATCGCCAGGAAGCCGATGTAAAAAGCTTGGCGACGAACGCGGTTGCCGAAGAGAGATCGTCTCTTTGTCGGCAAGCTTGCTAATTAGTTTACTAACGTATCGATCCTTCTCCGTATTTATACGTGTCCACTACTACGCAATCACACGACCAACGATGAGGTCGAATAACATTAACAGGATCTGTATAATCGAGCTGTTGCTCGATAAATTCGAATAAACTCTCGAAATCGTTCGACTTCTTTGCGCGACAAGTTATGTGAAATAAAGATAAGATAAAATGGATGATTTTCTTGCGAAACTTGTTCGTTTTAATTGATAATTATAATTGTTAGAAGACGAATTAAATTTTTATTACTCTTGTGCGAGCGAAGAAAAATCGTGTTACGTTTTATCGATTTTATTATATGACAACAAAATAATAAATCTATATAAATGGATTTGCAACTATTCACATCTAACATTATTGCTACAAAACCTGTTATAAATCAATATTTTTTATAACGTTGCTTTCTATGTGCACAACAGTATTAGATCTTTTAACGAGACCAGAAAAGAATGTTACTGGCGTTTTGTGGAAAACAATAATGAACGCCAAAGGCACTGAATGTCGCAATGCTCCATCTAAATGCATACTGCTAATAGAAGCTACTTTCCAAATAACAGCGGAATCCAGAAGATGGCAAGCGTCACAGAAGCTGTGTTAATTGTCCTTATTGCCTTGTCTGCCTTTGACATATTAGTATATAGGCAGAGGGACCAAAACCTCGACACGGTGGATAAACCGGAAATGGCAGATACGTACGCGACACATACCGACAATATATATATATATATATCGGAAACGGTGATGCAGCATTATTTGCTGCGAGCAGTTATCTATTTCATGATGTTTCCAAGCCTTTAGGCAAAATTTCTCTTCAGCGATCCTCAATATGTTCCCAATTCATTTGTAATTGAATAATCTGAAATAATATAATGCAAACAGCAGATTATACGCACATAAGGTTTATTTACCGTCAACAATTAAAAAAAAAATAGATAATTGCTAAAATAAAAGCAGAAATAGGTAGCGTATTTTTGAGCTCTAAAGAATTTTAGTCAAATCTCATGTCAATATGACCGTTGAAAGGCAGAGCAAATTTAATAATCAAACTTCACAATCGAGCTTTTGAGATGGGACCGATGAAAACCGCTTTGGATCCGGTAACAAACGGGAAGTAGCGTCGGTACGTTGACAATGGTAATTATTGTTGATGCTGAAATTTCAATTTTGCAATTGATGCAATGTCTGGAAAGCATCGGTGCGCCTGTATGTATAAGGACGCGGGTACGTATAAAGCGTGTATACGTATACACACGTGACCACAGAGAGGCGAGTGGCAGACTGCGGAGACGCAAACCAGCCAGAAACCATCATAAAGGTTCGGTTCTCCCTTTGATACGCGTACGGTAACGTATTTAGTTAGACATATCATTCGGTTTCCATCTATTGTACTCCCAGCGAACAAACTTCCTATTTGTTTGAACGTTGAAGCCCACACCCATCCACCCACCCGATTTACCACCCGCGTCCCACGTGACCAAGAAATGGGGGGAGGGGGGGGTGTGCGTGCCTCCTATCAAGGAATAAGCTCGCCGCTATTGTAATTACCTGCAAATGGCGTTTTGCCTCGCGGTAAAGTTGCAAACGAAAATTGGCCCTTTTGTTCGGGCTCGCCCAGAAGTAATAGTCAAGACTGCCATCGCATTCTCATTATTATCTAAAATCAGTTAAGGCGCAATTTTCTATATATTTTCTGCGACATATAAATATAGAGGCTTAATCATACCGTAACTTGCATTCATTTTGAGATTCTGGCAAAAATCATTTCTTTAAGAAAACTATTAGCTAATTCTTTCATATGTACACACTTACGGTACTTTGTTTATATTATACAATAATAATTATTGTCAAAACTTTTGATGAATTCATTAATCTCGATTGTATAAAATGATAGTTGACTTTATATTTTTGAGCTGCAAGAATCGGTCGTATTTCTTGTTTACTTTTATTCTATCTAAGAAACTGCGCACTTAAGTTTACTTAATTATTGCGTAAACAATTAAAGAGAGAACTGCGCCGGACGTCTAAGTGATGGTTCGTCTGGGGGATTCCGAGACGGTTTTATCCGCGGGTTCTTAATAGCAAAGGCGACCCGCCTAACGACCGACAGCGGCATACCGAGTCCTTCGGACTCGCGGGCGACATGCCTCAATAGATTCATCGAATACTATCGAAGGAATTTCGCAAACAATCCCGACCAATCGACACACGATCTTGGGAACCGCTCGGTGGATCGCCTCTCAAAAGGCGTATGGTATCGCCCGGCTATACAATGTAATAGCAGTTCACCAATACACGCAGAACTGTGCTGTCAATTATTTGGCCATTAAAATAATGACGCTTGGGAAATTTTGTCATGATTATTATTGTGCATAAAACTTTATTTATATAGTTGCAATGGTTAGTAAACAGTAATATTATACATATACATTTTTTTTAAATACAAGTAGAATATTTCAAAAAGTTACTTTTCACATAATTCATTTAACAAAAAAAAAAATAATGTCATGTAATCTATGAATTATATAGGTATTTAATTTTTGTCTATATCGACCTTCTACATTCCTCGACCCTTTCGTTTTGCTTGTCACGGCAATATCTATCGAGACGTTAATATAAATGCAGGTCTCAAGTAGTTTGACCAAACCGAAGGATCGGGTCCGCTGCCCTTGCGAATAGTGACCGGTGTGAGAAACGCGTCGGTCGGCCTTAAATCAAGGAGGCCCTAATTCCAGCAAGAAATCGTCGCGGGGCGTTGTTCCCAGGATCAGCTGGCCGGCTGACGGCATTTCTCGGACATACCTGTCGTACCTCATCGACCGGTTCCGACCGGTAACAAGATAGGCTTCCCTGGTACCCTTTGAAACCTTAACCATATACATACGATTGGTCGCAAATTTGTAGATTGCCACGCCGCAATTGATGATTTATGCGATTAACTTGAACGAACAAACGTAAGATTTTGAAAATTACATTGTTAAAAAAATTATTTTGCATCACTTTTATATCACCATAATTGACTCAACACTTGTCTATTTTTTAAATCAATATTAATCAACTAATTGCACGAAACGAAACAAGTAAGTTCTCAAAGGATACCGACTGATCTAAAAAAAATGCACTACCGATCCCGGATCGAGCGTGGTATGCGCCTTGTTGTGGAAATGTTTAGCCTCTTAGACGAGGGATTTAATGGCATTAAAGAAAAGTCGAGATTCAAGGGCACAGATGCAGCTCAATCAATGCCGCATACTCTCGAGGCCACACGCTCGACCTAGCCAAGGACGGCCAACAGTCGCCTGCATTCTACGTGTTCTTGTCTTATCTGTTGGTATAATGCAGGTGATCCCCTCTGCTCAGGTGAGCACGACTCAAGGAGGGTGACACCGCACCGACGACATTTTCTGGATGCACGCGGTGATACTCTCGGCTGTCAAGCTCTGCTTGAACTCGGGATTCGCGAACACGAGCGGAAAGCTTCGTCATAAACCTGGAGCAGCAGAAAAGAAAAATGCAAAACCGTACGAAACTTTTGCGATATTTCTATTCTTTTCTTTCTGTAAATGTTTTAACTTTTTTGTATTATATTTAAAAACGAATTTTTTTTGCAATTTTAGAAAATTTATCGTTAGACGAATTGTGTAAAGTAATCGTGAATGTGCAAAGGTGTAAGACAGTGTGAGTTTTCTTTTCTTTTATATCTCTCATCAGCAGACTTTTTGAGAGCTTAATTCTCTCCGATTTTCCTCCGTGAACTAGTACTATTGTCACCAAGACGAGAATGGGGGGCCATTTCGTCGATTTCTCGCGAAGATATCACAGCCTGCGAAGTATGAGCGCGGGAATCAAACCCGACTGTACTCCTCGTTCGCCGAATGTTCGCGGAATCCGTTTTCCTGGCGGATTAATCCGCTCTTCGGGCGCGATCCATTTGAGAGTATCCTCGCGGCGTAAGTAGGACGCAGCTTAAACCCTTCTTTCCGTTTCCTCCATCCGGCCCATTGTCGCAGAGCTAAGCACAGATTTATTATCGCGTTGAGACCTACCCACCCTCCCCACCCACCTCGTCGTCGTAACCACCCCTCGCTGTCTCTTCCTCCGCCAGCCTCGGGCCCTTCGTACTAACCGGTCTTAGTCTCGTAAGAGAAATACATTCATCGAGTATTCTATTAAGAATCTGCACTCCCGCGGATGAACGAGCGAAATAAGGTTCTTCCACCAACTCCTGTTTCCTTTTCTCCGCCCCGCCCTCCCCCTTTCACTCGCTCGTACTCCCTGTGTCGCCCAATTCTCCTCTCTCGCTCTTCTTCCATTAGTCGAACGATTTCAATCCCTTTCCTCTTACGGCGTCTCACCTCGTTTGGATCATCTGGTCGAAAAAGCCAGATTACTTGCCTTTACGATGGAAAATTCTGCGTCGCGTGACGGTGAAATATATTCGGATTACCACACACTCGCCACATATACGCAACTTATTTCACGTTTTCTTTCTCCTCAACAACACCGGTGCGTCCGGTGTTGAGAACGACACAATGTTTCATGGCGGAATTAAGAAAGTTCAACAAACAAGAGAAGATAATTATTCACGCCCCTTCATCAGAAATTCGGCATCTGCTGATATTATCGGGTATCAGATCGCGCTATAAATCAATGATGTTATCGGTAACGCTCAATCGAGCCGCGAGCTGCAAATCACGCGCGTTCCGATCGTTACAAAGACTACGTTGCAAAAAATTAATTACTTTCGACTTTTACCGATCACGTCGTCGCGCGACGAAAGCCGCGCGCCCGTCATTAATCTCAGAAAATCCCGAATACAGCCGCGTCAGCGTGCCAAACTCGCGTCGAACACCCGGTGCATGCTACCGGATAATAACACGAGACGTGTAGCACGCGCTGCACGTAGACGTTCAGAGAGCGTCTTACGCACCGGAGTGTCTCGCGTCTCTCTCCATACATTCTTTCTCTTTCTCTCTCTCTCTCTCTCTCTTTCTCTTCCTTCGCGGATCTCAAAAAGGTGTGCAAGATGCAGCTGTTCGCCGCGGTTCGAGTCGGGCCAGCCGAGAAACGATAATTAGCTCATTTCAATAATTGACAGGCCGTTGCGCTCGCGCTAGCTAACGCATCTGGCATCGAGGCGCGTTCTCTCCTATGCGCGCACATGCATCCGCGCCCGGTGCATTTGCATCGATGACCATCGCGTTACAGGCCGCCCCCATTCGC